TTACTTAACTTGATTAAGACACATACTTCTTTTGCACTATTTACAAAGCTTACTTTCTAACAAAAAACAACAATGATAGATCTTAGCGACATAACATCAAACCTTGTAAATAAATATTACATACTGTACAGTATACATACAATTTAGGTACAAGGATTAGGGCACATAATCGCTGCAATGTCCCTCTTCTAATCGTAAAGGGACATTGCATAAAACAATCTGATTTCTTTATATACTGTATACAGTACTTTCCTATAGAAAATCCCACAAAACACCATATTTGTGAAAAAAAACAGGTGAGCCCCAGATGAACTCCAAAACTTCACAAGGAGAATGCTGAGTTGTACTGAACCCAGTGCCACCCTTATTTCTCCAAAATGTGCAAGTCTGTGACAAAACCATCATATTTAATACTGGCATCTATAGGGTGTATAGAATGTGATGACTCGAGAATGCTTAGTCCACTGCAGCAGGGGGTAGTGAGGCTGAAGTGAGGACCAGTCTAAGAGCTGGCCAGCTCTGAAAATCAGGTAAGTACAATTTGTTTCTTAATCTAGACACAAATGAGCACTGAACACATGCAATGCGAGGGTAGCTTAATTGCAACGGTTAAGAATTGTTTTCTTCTTTAATGCAAGGCTGACAAAAGCTATCATAAAATTGCCATATAATAAGACCCGTAGCAGGTATTTCAACAGATTGTATTCTGGACATTTTGGGAGTTGTAAAGCCAATGAGAGGAATACACATTTGTGTCTGAATTGTTAGAATTGTTACAGCTGATACTGTGAACGTGTTTCCATTAAAACATCTGTAAGGGTTAACTGAGAAGTTGCCCAACCCCATTGATGATCACTCTTCAATGGCACTTGTAGGTTGCCTACTGTTGTCACACGAGCTAGAAAATCTCTGTGCCAGGTGAGGCTGGGAATGCCATTGTCAGAGTACTTATTATTGTTCTAGAAAGGGACCTTACAAAAATCACATGACCCAATCCCTCCTCTCGTCATTTGAACCATTCTCGATGAAACATTCTACAAAAAAAAGGGAAAATCCAGTTTTTAATTTATGCCAGGGTATACACTGATCAGTCATAACATTATGTCCATTGACAGGTAAAGTGAATAATTCTGATTATGTTGTTACAATGGCACCTGGAAGTGGGTGGGATATATTAGTCAGCAAGTAAACATTTTGTCCCTGAAGTTGATGTGATGGAAGCAGAAAAAATGTGCAAATGTGTAAGGATTTGAAAAACTTTGAAAAGGGACAAGCTGTGATGGCTAGACGACTGTGTCAGAGCAACTCCAAAACTGTAGCTCTTGTGGGATGTTCCCAATCTGCAGCAGTCAGGAGCTCCAAAAAGTGGTCCACGAAAGGAAAACTGGCGAAGCAGCGACGGTGTCATGGGCAGCCAAGGCTCACTGATGCACTTGAGGAGTAAAGGTTGGCCAGTGTAGTCTGATCCAATAGAAGAGATACTGTAGCTCAAATTGCTGAAAAACGTAATGCTGGTTCGGATAGAAAGGTGTCGGATCGCACAGTGCATCACAGTTTGTTGCATATGGTGTTGCGTAGCTGCAGAGTGGTCAGTGTGCCCATGCTGACTCTTGCACCTACAATGGGCACATAAGCATCAGAAGGACCACAGAGTAATGGAAGAAGGGGGTCTGGTCTGATGAATCACATTTTCTTTCACATCATGTGGATGGCGGGGTTCGTGTGTGTTGCTTAGCTGGGGAAGGGATGGCACCAGGATGCCCTATGGCTAGATTGAAAGTCGGCGGAAGCAGTGTGATTCTTTGGCCAATGTTCTGCTGAGAAACCTTGGGTCCTACCATTCATTTGGATCCTTTGACACGTATCATGTGCCTAAACATTGATGCTGACCAAGTATATCCCTTCATAGAAATGGTATTCCTGATGGCAGTGACCTTTTTCAGCAAGGTAATGCGCTCTGCCACACTGCAGAAATGATTCAAGAATGGTTTGAGGAACACAACAATGAGTCTGAGGTGTTTACTTGACCCCCAAGTTCTCCAGATCTCAATCCAATCAAGCATCTGTGGGATGTGCTGGAAAAACAAGTCCGATCCATGGAGGCCCCACCTTGCAATTTACAGGACTAAGGGCCAGTTCACACTACACAGGCTGCTTTCCAGAGCGTTTGTCCTCTGGAACGCACTGAAATGCAAGCCAGCTGGGTCCCATGCCCCCTGCCCGCAGTGCAGTCGCCCCCACACCCGGAGCACAGGGACGTTAGTGTCTGCGTTCCGGTCCAGTGCGATCTGCAAAAACAGTGCTTGTAGTATTTTTGGTGATTGTAGTGGACTGGAACGCAGACACTAATATGCCTGCTTTCCGGGTGCAGGCGATCACACTGCAGAAGGGAGGCATGGCTGCAGTGCCATTGATTTCAATGCACCACCACACCTCCTCCCGCCCCTAAACGCAGGGAGTCGGCCGGCTTGCATTCCAGTGCGTTCCAGAGGTCGACCACTCTGGAATACCTTTGTGGATCTGCTTCTGACAGCTTGGTGCCAGATACTGCAGCATACCTTCAGAGGTCTAGTGAAGTCCATGTCTCGACGGTCCAGGAAAAGTGGGGCCTGCTCAATATTAGGTGGGTGGTCATAATGTTATGGCTGATTGGTGTATATCTCTTTTCAGATTATAAATCAAATTAGTTTCTGAACACAGTAAAACTTTTTCAACATTCACTCCTATGAAACATTATGTAGTCATTAGAAGATTGGGAAAATTGTATCTATTTTTTTGAAACATAATAATTTAGTTTACAAAGATAGTGATTTTATGATAATTTTTATGATAATTTTTCCTTTGTTTTGCAAATAATTCTGTCTTGTTATTAAAACCAAAATAGCTATTGTATTTGCCTAAAAGACCCATTTGCTCTCAATTTTGGATATTTCCTCCCCAACCTTACCTCCTCTACAATCTTTCCTTACCCTCTTTATTGCACAAAATGAAGTACCTTTTATAATCATTAATTTTTAATGTGAGTTTAACAGAAAGTAGCCAGTGGCAGCAAGAAGAGGGACAGACTCCATAAACTATTGAATAATTTCTATACACCACTTATTGAAAAGGCAAGTGTCGCTGAAACAATCCTAAAAAAACGCCTTTTAAAAAAAATGAAATTATGAAAATTTGGGTGCTGCTGCTGTATGTAAGCCAAGCTGATTCCTGCAGCCAAATATGGGCTGTAAGTGTACTTTATGGCTGAGACTGTGTGAAAATGTACTGTTCTTTACCCCATTTGCAGCAAAGCAGAACTTCAGGTAATTTTTTTCTTTACCCTTGCTCTAAATAGTCCTTAGAGCCCGTCCCTCTAAATAGTCTTTATTTTTATAAAAGTTTGCCTATCAGCCACAAAAAATGGCCAGAATTAATCCAGAATGGCCAGAATCGTAACAGGATTTGCCCCCATAAACATTAGTAGGATTTGGCGCCAGTGGTATATTTTGGATTTGTGCTGCCCTGGGCAAGACTAAACCCGGGCACCTCCTAATCTAAATTTGCCCCAAACCTTCCTGTTTAAGGCGTTTTGCATACCCTGTCAGAAGCCGGATACAGCGTGCATGCTTTATCCAGCTTCTGACAGGTTGTGGTATTAGCAATGCAGAATACCACCAGCTATAGAGAACTACAAATCCCAGCAATACATTATACAGCAATGCGGAATAATCTGAAGCTACATACTCTGTGTTGCTCCAGGGGGGCCTCCTGGTGTCTCCAGGGTCTCAGGTGGCTGTGCGGCGTCTCAGGTGGGCTGTGCGGGCTCTCAGGAGGGTTGTGCAGGCTCTCGGGTGGCTGTGTGGGCTCTCATGTAGGCTGTGCAGGATCTCTGGAGGCTGTGTGGGATCCCAGGAGGTGCGGGCTCTAAGGTGAGATGTGCAGGCTCTCAGGTGGGCTGTGGCGGCTCTCAGGTCATCTATGTGGGCTCTAAAGTGGCCTGTGCAGAATCTTAGGAGGGCTGTGTGGCATCTTACCAGGGGTCCAGAGGCAGCGGCGTGGTTTTATAGGGAGGAGGAGATGTGCAGGCCAGCACCATATGCAGCACCACAAGGTCCCCAGAAGCGCAGGACCTTACAGCAGCTGCTTATGTTTACAAATGTAAAGTGCCAGTATCAGCGCTTAGTGTGGGTCATTTTAATGAGTACTCACGAAAATGCCCAGTATCAGCACTGATATCAGTGCTAATAACGTTAATGGCTGGTGAGGCTCTGCCTCACTGGTTTGGCGTGGCATTTTTTTGTAAAGTGCCTTGCGGCAGATACGCCCCTATTTTGCTCTGAGTTTTGGATTTGCTGAATTTCAAACAGGATTCACTGAAACCCCCTATGATTCAAACCAGGGCAGATTTGCTCATCCTTAGCCCCCGGGGCACGAACACTATCATATGCAGTAAACTAAAAGTTGTAGAGGAATTTCGGGAGGGGGGCTGAAACTCCAGCTTGGAGTGTCAGAAAGCATTGGGCAGGATATAGCATGTGCTGCATCAGTGCTATGTATTTATTATTTTTATTTGGTACATAAGGCTCAGTTCACGAAGTTTAACACAAGGATAAGGATCTTTATTTTTAACCATGTCACTGTAATTTTGTCATTTTGAAATCTCATTGGATTTATCTGAAAATAACTGATCCTTATACTGGTGTTTTAGATTTGTGAATTGAGTCCATAATCACTTTAAACTCATTAAAAGGGAACTACAATTGGCTGTTATAGTTGGGTGCAGACCGGTGATCTTTTCATAGCGTATCAAATTTTGCCTTAATTTTTTAATTTTTCTGGTTGTGTCATATATACAATTTTTTTTCTTGTATCCACAACTGGAAAAACAAGGCTCCTTCTTGTTGATGATTACATGTGTTTTGTAACGTGTGCCTGCATTGTTATACAACCCGAGCTGGCGAGCTGCCAGATCCCAGTGAAAGGGAGGAGGGGATCACTCAGGCTGCAACAGAGAACGAGAACTGTCATTTATAGGATCATGGCCAGACGAGCAAAGTTTCTGTTTACATATTCATGTCTGCCCTAAGGTTCAGGGTGCCCTCCAGGACAGATGTGGCATTGACAATATAGACATGGAACTTTCATGGATAGGGACGTTGATCCTCCTCTTCTTTGTGACAATTCTGGTAACAGTCTGGACGAGGAGGAACAGACAATCCACATTGCCACCCGGTCCAACTCCGCTGCCTCTTCTGGGAAACATCCTGCAGATCAATTTCAAGGATCTAGTCCATGCCTTTGTGCAGGTCAGTGCAGTCTACGCCTTCCTCTCTTTCTTAGGAAGCATTCAGCAATGTGACACGTAATACTGATGCTTTAAGGCTGGCTTCATAGTTGTGCTCTGTTATAACTTGCTTTACATACATGACATGTTAACGTATGAATATATACTGCATGTGTTGTGCTACGGTGCCATTTCATCTGGCACCGTAGCACAACACATTTAAACCCCAATGAACATTTACTGTAGATTAGGAGTGGGAAAACTCTGTCCCTTCAGCTGTGGTTAAACTACAAATCCCATGATGCATCTGTCTCTGGAGTCATGCCCGTGGCTGAGATTCTGTTTTTAAAGGTGTTTTATTCATTTTTTTGCAATAGTACAGAAGAACAATAACTAGAAAATGTTACAGTGCAATAACAGGATTGTAAAATACAATATAGTAGAGTAGCATATAAAAAAAAGGGGGGGGGAGAGAAAGAGGAAATAAGAAAGAAATGGATGCAAACTTAACAGAGAATGGACCTTTGGGTGCTCAAAATAAAAAACTCTCCCGGGCGCTCTGGGAGCCTCCCGATCCCGGCAGCCCAGGAGAGAAACACTGCTGTGTCTTTTTTTTTTCTTTATTCTGACATGAGCTATGTCAGAATAGAAAAAAATTAATTTTTCCCATTGAAAAGCATTGCTACATTACTATTGGCTATTTCAATTTGCAATAGTAAACAATAGTTGCAATAGTAAACTAGCATTGTAGCCGCCCTCTGCTGATTGCTGATGGACCTGATGGGGAACTGCAGCAGAGGGCGGGTACAGTGCTGGTTTACTATTGGCTATTGCAAATTGAAATAGCCAATAGTAATGTACCAATGCTTTTCAATGGGAAAATTCTTTTTTTTTTCTATTCTGACATCACGACATGATCGTGTCAGAATAAAGAAAAAAAAAAGACACAGCAGTGTTTCTCTCCCGGGGCACCAGGGAGAGTTAGCTGTATGGAGATCAGTGTCCCTGGTTAGCAGGTAACCACGGACGCTGATCTCTCTGAAAGTGGCCGGAGCCAGCCATAAGATTACGGCTGGCTCCGCCCAGCTGTCAGAAGCAGGCATGTAACGCATAGAGTCAGCATAAGCAGGCACAGGAAGGTCCCTTTCCTGTGTATAATCAGGTCCATCTTTTGATGGAGGAAAAAACTGCAATTACTGGACCCCATGTCAGTCTATGGGGAATCAGATGTAGATGGACATGTGTCCCTTTACATCAGATTACCCCCGATCCAGCATGATCTGTTTACACACGACTGCCCTATAGACTTACATTGGGCATCCGATCGGGACAGCTTATGAAAAAAAGGGGCTTAAGTCATCAACTTACATGAGAGTAGTTGTTTTTTTTTTTTTCACTCAATTAGAACAAGAGAATAGAGAATACTGGAAATATTTAGTAGATAGCAGATAATGTTGATTTAGCAAATAAATGATAAATGTAACCATTGCTACTACTGGATACCATAGTAACAATGGTTATATCTATTTGCCATTTCCCTCCAGTGTTCTCAAGTATTGTAACTTATATTTCTAAGATGTATTAATTTCCTGTGATCCTCAGCTCCATTTAGTGGCAGCTGTGAACAGGTCCCATTCACGCCCATACATTTTTTGGGTTACCTTTCGTTGGGATGCTTTGATTTACTTTGAGAATCAGATGCTAACAGATTAATTGTAAATGGGCCAAATTCATCCACTAACCTATTGAAGATAGGTTAGTGGACCTGGAAGATGATTTTATTCTGTTCTTTGTATCCTCAGCTTGGCTCTCGGTATGGCCCGGTGTCCATGGTTCATCTGGGACGGAAGAAGGTGTTGGTGTTAAACGGTTATGATGTGGTGAGAGAAGCCTTCGTTGACAAAGGAGAGGCATTCAATGATCGAGCTGAATTAGCCATGGCAGATATAGCTTTCAAGGGATATGGTGAGAAACTGGTGGTAAAATTTGCTGAAGGGATTCATTACTAGTAAAGTATGTCCATTCTTTGAATTGCTTATTGCACATGTTGCAGTTTGTTTCTTTTTTTTTTACAGTATGTAATGTGTTTAGAATGCTTCAGTGTAAACAATGTTTTAGTAAGGCTTCTGAAAAATGGGGAGTCACACACCCACCTTTGGTGAGCCATGTGCTACTGCCCTGAATGGACTTTGCAGACATGGAGGATTTTTGTCCACAGCCAAATACATTATTTAAACACAAAAATGTAATATATTGCAGGTTACCAGTCCTAATATGTGGTGGCTGCATTTATTTTTTATACAGTGGTACCACGGTTCACAAACTTAATTCGTTCCACGATTCTGGTTGCGAACCGTATCTAATTTCCCCATAAGGTTCAATGTAAAGAAGATTAATTCGTTCTGACCCCTACGAACGTGGTCGCAAACCGATTTTGGTCATGAACAGAATCAAATTTTCCCATAAGGTTCAATGTAAATAAGGTTAATACGTTCTGAACCATATGTAATTTTTTTCTTGTCACCTTCATTACCGCTCTGCACTTTCTTTTTGCCACCATGCTTACTCTGCACTTTCTAGGAGGCATGATGGATTGAATATTACTCTACAGTACTCTATGTGCTAAAAAGCTTCACAGCAAGTGTGCACAGGTCTGTCTGCAACCGCGATCTTGATTGAAGAAGCTACGTTATATTGTGATGTTTGGGGAATTAGCTGGACCGCAGGACACAGGCTTTATCAGACAGATCGCATTTATTTTTCACAGCAGCAACATAAACACTCATTTCTTTCTTCAGTACAGCAAAACAACTTAAAAGATTGCTTTCTTCAGCACAGAACTGATAAACTGTACCATTTGCTTTCTTCATCACAGAAAAGAATAACAGTAGCCTCACCGGCTTGGATGGTTTCAGTCCACAAGGTGATCACACTCTTAACCTAAAGCTGGCCATACACTTTACAACCCTCGCAAGACTTTTGTCTTGCGAGGGTTGTGAAGTAATTTAAAAAACGTACGATCTGCCCACCATGGGCAGGCAGATCGTACTTGCGATCATCGCAAGCCCGCCCCGCTGAGGGGCGGGCTTCCAGTGACTGCAATGGTGAAGGGCAATGTGCGCATGCGCGCACCGGCCCGTTCGGCAGTTGTCGAACAAGCACGCCACTAACTCGCCGAGAATCGCACGATTCTCGACGGGTTTTCCAGCCTGCTTGTTCGACGGAAGACGTGCGATCGTACAGTAGAAATGGTCGCACGCCTTCCATACACTTTGCGATTATCATACGATCGTGGGATTTCCCGCGATTATCGTACAATAATCGTACAGTGTATGGGCACCTTTACATTGGGTTCACACCTTAGCTTATTGGAAACTCGCGTTTGCCGCACGTTTCTTACCGTGCGGTTTTACAGCGATTTGCGGTAAAAGAAACGCGCGTCAAACGCGAGTTTCCGAGGGGTTATCCGGCTGATAACAGCGGGATACGGGCATCAATACGCCCCAAAGAAGCTCATGTACTTCTGAATGGCACCGTAGCCACGCCCTCCGGCTGCAATGCGATCTGCTGCACGGGATTGCAAGGCACATCGTGCCTGCGGTCCGTTTCTGTGCAGTGCAATCAAAATGCTACAAGCACTATTTTGACCGCACCGCACAGAATTGGACCGCAGACACAATGTGCCTTGCGATGCCATGCGGCGGATCGCATTGCGGCCCGGAGGGCGTGGCTACGGCGCCATTCACTTGAATGGCCCACCACGCCCCCTCCTGCCCCACTAAAAAGTGAGCCGGCCGCAGTGCGAGGCAGTGCGTAATGGCCAAAATCGGCCCGGAACGCACTGCATGTAGTGTGCATGTAGTGTGACCGAGCCCTTAAGTTTGCAGGAAGTGACAAGGACACTTTTCTTGCAAAATCAATGGGTATTTTCTGTACTTGCTGCATTAGTTCTTCTTTTTTTGCTGGCTAAGAACATTTTCAGCAAGCACAGAAAATACCGTTTGATCCTGCCAGAAAACACTGTGTTCTTGTCACTTACTGTGAGCTGAAAAGAAAACACAAACCTTCTTATCACTAGTACAATCAATCCTCCATGGCAGACATGTTTATAGCTTGTGTGCCATCCATGGCCCCTTCCATAGATCCAGTGGAGGATCGAGCATAGCCAGGGGGGTGAAAATAACAAAAAAAACCTGACAGAAGAAAACAAATTTAGCCACTACATATGATGACTGGTAAGGTTCTTTATATTATAAATTAGTTTTGGGGTTTAGATGAATTTTAGGTTTTCCTATTCCTAATACTGCGCTCGTTTTTTTATACCAAATAAAAATGTTTTGCCACTCAAAATAAAGTGATACCATTTAATTTCTTAACATACAGGAGTTCTCTTTAGCAATGGTGAGCGCTGGAAACAGATGAGACGATTTACCTTGAGCACCCTGAGGAATTTTGGGATGGGTAAAAGAAGCCTGGAGGAGCGGGTACAAGAGGAGGCCAAGTGTTTAGCAGAAGAGTTCCAGAAGAAAGGAGGTCAGTAGTAGTTTTATAGGACCAATTTCCAAAGTGTTGGCAAAAGAGCTTACAGAGTATTTCCTGTCACTAGAGGGTAGAACCAGTGTCGAGACAGCCCAAAAGAACACACGTGCTGCTTAAACATTTACACCAGGGGTGCCCATAAGGTCGATCGCAATCTAGAACTAATGCCGATCGGTGAGAGAGAGACGCTTGGCCAGGATCTGACAGCCAGGGCCTCTCTCTCTCCTCAC